AGTCTATTACGATAAAACGTTCAATCGAGAGAAAAGAGAAAATGGGTACGACATTAACACGACAGAGTTATCGAGCGAATCAGCAAAAACATATATATGCTTTGACTTGCTGTGTTTGATCTCGCGCGTTACTCTTGCGCGGCGAAAATCAGGGAAGCGCGACGAGAATTATCGATAACTTCTGAGAGACTTACTTTGCTGGACCGAGAAAAAGTTTCCGCGTGCGTAATTGTCGAGAGAGAGAGAGAAACAGAAAAAGATGCAACGTAGGACACACTTCACTCCCGAGCACCAGTACAGTAGCTTCGCTTGCGAGAATCCCGACTCGGGTCCACAAGTACGCGTATTCATCTGTCGAGTGTCGACAAAGGTTATGACGCAAACGACATGTATGGCGCGGCGTCGATGGCTACTTTACGCTCATATCTCGACTCTCGAGCCTGAGTTCGATCGTGAAGTAGGCACCCCACCGCGATATTTCCATTTGAACATGAAAATAAATAATGCTGTGTGTACACAATGCAGAAGCAGTTTAAATATTCTGCCAATAGCATAAATATAATTGTACTACTTATTTACTTATGAATAAATACAAAATCTCGCTTTAATAAATGGTAAAGCAAACTTTAAGAGCTAGGAAAATAATATCTTCGATGTATGTATCTTACGTGGAGCATGCGAAAAAAGAATAGAATTGATTGGAGTATCCAGAAATTTATTTCCTTTGATCTGTCTATGTATTGCAGGTGCGACATGATGGGCAGATTGAAATTAACATGGATGTAAAATGGCAAAGAAAAAGAGTAATTTGCAATTGAATACTATCAGCGAGAGCTATTCCTTTTTCTAAAAGAACGTCTGTACTCTAATTACGCAAAAGTATAAGAAAACATGACAGATGTTAAACCGATTGGAATTTCGACATCACAAGCACAGCAATCGCAATCACAGCAGCCGCAACAACAAGCGCAGCAACAAATGATGATCGCGACTCATGATCTGCAGCAACAACAACAGAATGTCCAGCCGCAGCAACAGCATGTACAGCAATCGCAGCAGCCTCAACAGGTCCAGCAACAGCCTCAAGTGCAGCAGCAGCAAGTTCAGCCGCAGCAGCAGATACAGCCGCAAGTCCAGTCGCAACAACAGATGCAAGTTCAACAGCAAGTGCAACAACAGGTACAGCAACAAGTCCAGCAGCAGCAGCAGCAACAGCCACAGCAGCCACAGCAACAGCAACAAAATAATGGAACTCACAATGTTGTTCCTACTCAAGTACAAGTTCAGCCACAAGTTGCTGCCAGCATGCCACAACAAGTAATTATTCATTTGTTTAAAGTTATACTTTAATTCTGTTTTATAAATAAATTTTACATAAACATGTAGTTATAGTATAATTTTATATTTATTGATATTTTCATTTATATTTTATTTGGCTGTTGATTTTATTTAATTATGTTTCGAATTATCACATTATTTTTATTCTTCAGTTTTGTCTTCACACGAGCATATCAGTCTTTTATCCTCATCATTAAAAAAGTTGCAGGGAGCTGTTGCGGTGTCGATGCAACATCAGCAGCAACAGGGAGTAGGAGGTGTGTCCATGACATTATCTGGTCAACAAGGTGCAACCACCATAACTACGATGGCTGCACATCCACAAGCGGTCCAAGTGATTCAACAGCCGATTCAGAGTCAAGCTTATCATTTACAACAATTGTATAATACTCAAGGTGCACCTTTATTGATGCCAGGAAACTTAGCACTCCATCCGGCAGGCATAAATCCCTCTTCTATACAGGTACAATCCACTTTAATTTTTATTGAAGATGTAATTTATACCAAAAGTTTAATACGCGCTAAACTATATCTCTCTCTTTAACAGTTATTAGATTTGCACTCCTAATTTAAAAAAATAATGCATATTTCACAGGTAATAACAGCTGGAAAGCCATTTCAATCTGCAGCTCAATTGACTCCTCACATGTTGGCTACGACATCCACGCCTGGACAAGGAGGTGGTCATCCAAATGCCGGTGGCACTAAAGTCCCGGGATTTCCGGCCGGCTATTTACCAGTACCCACGTCCGCTCCCGGTGCCGGACAGACGTTAGTGTTCGGTCAACTCGGAGTATTAGGTTCTCCACAACCACCACCCTCACTACAGCAGCAGCAACAACAGCAATCCACAAATAAGCAAGACCAAGTACAAAAGGTAAATATAATAGCAAAGAGGCATTTATTCTAAATCATCAAACATATCTTATGTTTGCGTAGCGTATTTCTTAAATATTATTAGCTGTATTTGTATACGTTTTGTAATATTACATTTTAAATAGTATACAGCGTGCACCACTGGAACACCTTCAGGTGGAAGAACTGGCGGTATGCAATTTGCGCCCTGGCAATTCGCACCTCAAGTATGGGCCACCGGATTGCAACAACCGACTCTGCTCACTGCCGCGCCTAATCAAATATTCATTCGCGGTCCTACACAAACTGATATGTTTATACAAAGTCCACAGCCGATACAGGCGCACAATGGTCAGTATTCACAGCTTTTCATATTCGTTAATATTTCTAAATATTATATAATATTTTTTTAAATAAGAATTTAGTTTCTCAGTTTATAATTTTTTTTGTAGT